CAATGCATCATTGATATCCACAGAATGTAAGGTATCTTCTGAGAAATTAAAATGGGAAACTGGAGCAGACACCTCCCTGTATGAGCCTCCCCAGGTTTTTAAAGTCTTTAGGGGAGGCCTTTTTCTCAGTTCAGCTACCTTCACTGGCATGTCTGGTGAGGACACGATACAAGGCCTTTTCATTGGCTGCTCCCAGGCTGTGGAATTTCTTGCCAAGGGACAATTAGGCTAGCTCCTTCCTGTAGTCTTTCTGATAGCAGATAAAGGCATTTCTGTTGAGTTGAGGTTTTGGCAACCAAGTGGCTATCAAAGGAGGAATTACAGTGGTGCCTCGCTTGAGGAGGATAATTTGTTCCGTTCAAATCGCTGTTAAACAAAATCCTCGTCAAGCGAAACTAAAAAACCCATTGAAATGCATTGAGAACTGGTTCAATGCGTTCCAATGGGCAAAATACCTGCTGGTTTTGCGAAGATCCTCCATAGGGCGGCCATTTTCCAGTGCCTGTAAAGTGAGGAATCCATCCTAAAGCACAGCGGGGAGCCATTTTAGAGCCCCCCATCAGCTGTTTTAAAATCATCATCTAGCGAAAAATTGGTTCCCAAAGCAGGGAACTGATCATCGTTAAGTGAATTTTCCCCATAGGAACATCGTTTTGCAAATGCAATAGCCATCTCAAAAAACTCATCGTAAAGCGGATTCGCCATTTAACGAGGTAATAGTTAAGCGAGGCATCACTGTATAACAGGGAATATTGGGCCTTTTAAAACTATTACTAATGTGCTTTAATAGTTTTACTTTTTTAAAAAATCCTGGGTTGTTTTAATGATGATATGTTTAATGTTGTAATGCACTGTAAATTTGTTAGCTGTCTTTAGCCTTTAAATATGAGACTACTTGAGTTCTTTTAATATGGACAAGACGAAGGTCCTGAGGGTGGGTGGCCCCTCCATTGGTGGTTTGGGAAACTCCCTCTCTTTTGGGGGGGTGACTCTCACCGCGAAGAGTGAGGTTCACAGCTTGGGGTACATCTGGATCCGGCGCTCACCATGGAAACCCAGATGGCATCAGTGGTCCGCTCTGCCTATTTCCATCTGTGGCGGATTGCCCAGCTGCGTCCCTATCTTGATGGCAGGGCCCTCACCACTCTGGTCCATATGCTTGTAATCTCAAGATTAGATCACTGTAATGTGCTCAACGTGGGGCTACCCTTGAGATTGATGCAGAAGCTTCAAATGGTGCAGAATGCGGCAGCCAGATTTCTTAGTGGCATGAGAAAACATCAGCACATCTCTTCCACTCTGGCTGCCTTGCACTGGCTGCCCATTCGTTTCCGCATTGATTTCAAAGTGTTAATGATGACATAAAAAGGTAAAGTTAAAGGTTCCCCTTGACAATTTTTGTCCAATCGTGATGACATATAAAGCCCTAAATGGTTTAGGACCTTGATACCTAGCAGAACGCCTTCTCCCACCTAGATCTACTTGAATCACTTGCTATAGCCAGGAAAGACGGCTGAGGGGCCTAATGCCAAGGGAGGCCCAGAAAGAAAGAACAAGAAACCGGGCCTTCTCTGCAGTAGCCCCTCGACTCTGGAACAGCCTTCTGTCAGAGATCTGCTTGGCTCCCTCTCTGGGTGTTTTCAAAGAGCCAATTAAAAACTTGAGTCTTTAGGCAGGCCTTCCCTCTTGTCAATACTTGACTTTACTTTTTATTTTAATTTTCTGTTTATACTTTTCCATCGTGAATAATACTAATACTGTATTATTGATTTAAATTGTTGTTTTAATTGTTTTTATGATATTTTATTGTAAGCTGCCCAGAGTAGACATTGTCTAAATGGGCAGGATAAAAATCTAATAAATAAATAAAATAAATTTCTTAAGAAAATACATTTATTAAGGAGTAGTGAGAGGGCATGACAAATGGGAGAAATGGAGAAGGGGTAGACAGACAACTGGCAGGAAAAAAGAGGTAGTCCTCTACCATCCAAATGTGTAATCTATCTGTAAAAAAACAAGCAGGAAAGATTTGGAATATATTACATTTTGAACTGCAGGGAGGTTTGGCATCCTTTGCTACGATTCACTGCAGATTTGATCTGCTTTTTCTAGAGTGTTTAGTTTCAGCCTAATTGAGGGAGACCTGGTTCTGTGTAGGCACGTATAGGTTCACACTATGAATGATATAAAACAGCATTATATTAGAAGGCAGCCTCCATCAAGTTCCTGAAAGATTGACTGGAGTTACAATCCTATGTATGCTGACATGGCACTAAACCCGATTCTGCTCAATAGGATTTGCTTTTGAGTAAGCATGTATTCCTGCCTCCTTCCAATAATTCTGGCCAAAGACTCCAATTAAAAGCATGAAAAAGCAGATGTAGATGTGGCAAATTTCTGTTTCAATGTATTTTTAGACTCTAAAATTTGACACGGTGTATGGACTATGGGCTATTACACCTAAATAAATTTGAACTTGAGTTTGATAAGGTTTCAATACTTTCATTTCTTAAAAGATTAAACATTATTTGATTTGATGATATAGCCAGACAACATTGAGCATATAAATCTGTTACTCATATTTCACTTCTCACACACACACTTATTTTACAACATCTGCTTGTTTTCCACATACAGAGGCTTCATCTCCTGGACTCACCGTTCTGGCTTCACTAACTCTTCTCGTACAAAACTAGTTTGAAACCTGCGTTGTAAAAGGGGAGAACAAAACAGGACAGGTAGCAGAATTATTTCCATGACGCTGACAATTCTAATAAGGTGTCACAAAAGCTGATATCAAGGTTTCTTACCATCCCGAATATGCAAACATCCCTGCATAAAAAGCTAATGGCAGCTTGTCCAAAACGAGCATCTCGCTGTTGAAAGGATCTTGGAAATTTTCAATATGGCCTAAAGAAAATAATTGTTTGGGCAAAAAAAGAAACAAACAAATAATAGATATGGGAACTTGCTTAAGATGGTTAAGCTTAGGATTGGTTTTATCATTTGCATCATGAGAAGAAATTTTAGCTTAGGTGGGCATTTGTCCTGCTATTAAGTGTGTTGTGGAAGTAGATTGGTTTGCTCTCCCCCCCCCGAAGTGGCCATATGACATAATTGTTAGAGTGAGCCAATTTCCCCCAATTTGCCACGAGGGCACCTCCAACCTGCACCTTTTTGAGCTCTTATTAGGGTTTTGTTGTTGTTGTTGTTGTTGTGTTGTTGGTACAATTTGCAATATTGTGAAGCGGCTTAATAAGCCCAACCTGCACCTTTTTGAGCCCTTATTAGGGTTTTGTTGTTGTTGTTGTTGTTGTTTTGTTGGTGGTGGTGATATAGGGTGCTATGGTCTAGTTTAGTCCAATCCCAGCACGGGCAATAACTGGGAATGAAATTGAGCTTTACTGCTATCAAAACTGTGAAGGCTCTTTCCACTATCAATTTGCAATATTGTGAAGCGGCTTAATATACAATTTGCAATATTGTGAAGCGGCTTAATAAGTGAGCCAGTTCAAAATATTGGGAAATTGAACACTTCCCCTGCTCCTCTATAGTGTTTTTTTTTAAACTCTACTAAATTATTACTGTTGGACTGAATCACTTATATTAGATTTAAAACATTATTCCTTGCCTTTGTGTGAGCTGCTGATTGAAACCATGGCTGCGGGCCGTGTCTCAAGTGGCACTACCCACAAGGCAAAGATTTTTAAAAAAAATTAATCTAAGTGATTTGGTGAATCAGTGATTGTTTAGCACTGGATGAAATAATAATTTTACTTCTCCTGCCACAGAGGAGCAGGGGACGTGATCAATTGATGGTGGAAGGACCCAGAGGGTCAACTGAGGTTGATGTGACACCAAATGACATATCGCTACTTCTCTTAACCTCAAGTGACTATTTAGATTGCACCAGCCTGCATCAATAGGGCCAGTGTAGACATATTCTTACTGACACCTGACCTCTGATGTAGAGATAGGAAAATCTGTCAACTTTTTGTTTACTCTCCCTCCACATTTTTAATCCTCAGTTCCATGCTTTTTCAAATATGAAGTATGCAAATGCCTTTCATGTCTTCAGAAATGAAATGAAATATAAATTAAAATATTTGCATCTGCCAGATTTAATAGTTAAAGATATTCCTATTCACGAATAGGATTGTGTGGTTGTTAAAGATGGGGAGCCTCACAGATACTGTAAATAGGTGGCAATCCTAATTCAACATAGAGGTTGAGTACACTTGCATGGTCAAAGTAAGCACTCAAAAATCTTAGACTTGATGGATGATCTGCCACCATTCATGGGGGTGGGGAGAAATGAAGACATTTGCAAATTTTGGTAAATTTTTTATCAAAAATGAACATAGATAAAGTGTTTGCCTGCCACTATTATGAGATCAATCTAAGCATGTCAGTCTAAGTGTGAGCAGAGGCAGTCCCATTGGTATGATATACGGATGCTAGATTTTTTTAAAAGACATACATTGTTGCATTTTGTTGATTATAACATTTATTAATAGATGAAGTTGTTGATGATAGCGGAGATGATGAAATGGAGTACCTTGGGCTAAAAGCATCATGCCGGGGACAATGATGAGAGCAAGAGCAGCCAACTTGATGATGGATAAGATGGTCTGAAGCTGGGCACTCCATGTGACACTCCAAGAGTTCAAGATGAGGACAATGTCTAGGAAGGAAGGAAGGAAGAAAGGAAGGAAGAAAGGAAGAAAGGAAGAAAGGAAAAGCATTTGATCTGCATGACGGTATTGCTTATTTCAGTGGGTGAGTTAAAGCTATAGAATCAGCAAGTTTCCAGAATGATTTTGCATTGCTTATTTTAACGGGTAAGCTACACATGTACTATTAAAGAAATGCATAGGTCATGATTTCTGTTTTGTACTTACAGTAGCCAAGAAGAGCAACAAGTTTTACAGCCGAAAGTGGAGCCGGACAGGGAGCAAAAAATGGTTCCAATATGTAGCGTCCAAAAGCTAAGGCAACAACAGCACTGTTGGCAGGCCTGGAGGGGGATTGAAAAAGTAGGTTATATATTCTGTGGTGCAAAATGTTACATTCCTGCAAAGTCATGAATGCCTTCTATACGACTGAGGTGTTTGGGAAGGGCAGTGGGAACTGAAGGCTGAGACATCAGGAGGGCCAAAAGACTCCACATCCTCCTGCTGCAGTTCAAGATGGTCTTAGCTGGCATAAGTTAAAAGGAAAGCAAGCACTTTAGATATTTTAGTTATTTGCAGGAAGTTGCCATCATCTCAGAATCATAGAATCAGAATAATTGAGTTGGAAGGGGCTGATCAGGCCATCAAGTCCAACCCCCTCTCAATGCATGAATCTAAATAAAAGCAGATCTGATAGATGGTTGTCCAATATTTTCCTGAATGCCTCTAGTGCTGGAGCGCTCAGCACCTCCCAAGGTCATTGATTCAATTGTTATACTGCTCTAACGGTTAAGAGTTTTTCCCTGATATTAAGCCTAAAACTGGATTCCTGTAGCTTGAGCCCATTCTTACATGTCCTGCACTCTGGGATGATTGGGAACAGATCCTGCCCCTCCTCTGTATGACTACCTTTCAAGTATGTGAAAAGTGATGTCATATCTCCCCTCAAGGCTAAACATGCCCTGTTCTTTCAGTCTTTCCTTATAGGGTTCGGTTTCCAGTTCCCAGATCATCCCTGTGGCCCTCCTCTGAATTTGGTCCAGTTTGTTGGCATCCCTCTTGAATTGCAGTCCAGACCTGGACCCATTACTTTATATGAGGCCTAACCAGTGCCAAATAGAGGAGGACTAGTACCTCACAGGATTGGGAGACCATACTTCTGTTCTTGCATTCTAAAATACCATTTGCGTTTTTTTGCAGCCACGTTGCACTGTTGATTTATATTCAGCTTGTGATCGACAACAATTCCAATATTCTTCTCATTCATAGTATTACTAAACCAAGTGTCGCCCATCTTGTAACTGTGCACCTGGGGTTTTTCCTCCCCCAGGTGCAGTACTTTGCATTTATCCCTGTTAAAATCCGTTCTGTTTTTTGAAGCCAAGTGCCCAAGCCTATCAAGATCTTTTTGAATTCTGTTCCTGTCTTCCAAGGTATTAACTATTTCACCCAATTTTGTGTAATCCACAAATTTGATAAGTATTGCCTGCACTCCGTCATGCCAATCATTAATAAAAATGTAATCTGACTATGTGCTTAAGTCTTAGGCTGCCTTTAATCTCTTTTTCTCCGACTAACGTATAACTAAATATTACACTTACAAATGCACCACATTGTTCTGGGTATTCCTAGACTTCACCTTTACATTTATGGCAGCTTACAGATGGAAATGTTTACCTTATTGCGAAGTATTCAGCCCATAGAAATAAGAACCCTGGCAGAGGGCCCAACGTCTCCAAAATATAGACGTAATGGCCTCCAGACTTTGTGATTCGTGTGCCAAGTTCTGCGTAACTCAGAGCACCTGGAAGTAGTGAGGTACAAAAGAGGTTTAGTAAATTACCGTGAATCCCTGTAAGTCACATTGAAAGGGTTTTGCCCCACGGTGACATTGTCTCAACAACAGAGACAAAACTGAGTTTTGGTTCTAGTGTATATCCTGAGTGCCTCTAGATCCCACAGTCATAGCAGTCTAAAACCTGTTTCCTGTTATGGTTCCATACTGCACAGTGATGGAACTCCTGGTCTGGTAAGGGACTCGCCTAACCAGTGCCAAATAGAGGAGGACTAGTACCTCACAGGATTGGGAGACCATACTTCTGTTCTTGCATTCTAAAATACCATTTGCGTTTTTTTGCAGCCACGTTGCACTGTTGATTTATATTCAGCTTGTGATCGACAACAATTCCAATATTCTTCTCATTCATAGTATTACTAAACCAAGTGTCCCCCATCTTGTGCACCTGGGGTTTTTCCTCCCTCCCGGTGCAGTACTTTGCATTTATCCCTGTTAAAATCCGTTCTGTTTTTTGAAGCCAAGTGCCCAAGCCTATCAAGATCTTTTTGAATTCTGTTCCTGTCTTCCAAGGTATTAACTATTTCACCCAATTTTGTGTAATCCACAAATTTGATAAGTATTGCCTGCACTCTGTCATGCCAATCATTAATAGAAATGTAATCTGACTATGTGCTTAAGTCTTAGGCTGCCTTTAATCTCTTTTTCTCCGACTAACGTATAACTAAATATTACACTTACAAATGCACCACATTGTTCTGGGTATTCCTAGACTTCACCTTTGAATTTATGGCAGCTTACAGATGGAAATGTTTACCTTATTGCGAAGTATTCAGCCCATAGAAATAAGAACCCTGGCAGAGGGCCCAAAGTCTCCAAAATATAGACGTAATGGCCTCCAGACTTTGTGATTCGTGTGCCAAGTTCTGCGTAACTCAGAGCACCTGGAAGTAGTGAGGTACAAAAGAGGTTTAGTAAATTACCGTGAATCCCTGTAAGTCACATTGAAAGGGTTTTGCCCCACGGTGACATTGTCTCAACAACAGAGACAAAACTGAGTTTTGGTTCTAGTGTATATCCTGAGTGCCTCTAGATCCCACAGTCATAGCAGTCTAAAACCTGTTTCCTGTTATGGTTCCATACTGCACAGTGATGGAACTCCTGGTCTGGTAAGGGACTCAAGAGACTGGCTGGATAGCTCAGTGTGAGAGTTCAATCCCCCACTGTACTGTAGACTTATGCTGATCAGAGGACTATGGCAGCTATAGTCCAAAAAATTAACATTTGAAAGCTCTCTTTGCCCAGCACACAGCTTGGCTTCTGGAACTTGTGCCAATCTTTTTTTTAATTAATTAAAATAATATCCATACACAAAACAAACAACCACCACACCGTGAATGAGATCAGCACAGAATTAATAAGACATTACAGCCATTGGATGTAGTGCCCATCACAAGGTCTCCTTCAATAAATTGACATGGGAGGTAGGAAGAATCAACTGCTGACTACATTTACCAACCTGGAGAATTAGTTTTTCCCACATCATGTAAAAAAAACAAGCTGCTTCTTCAGACTGCCTCACATGACTGCCCTCTTTAATTAGCTTACCCATTAATGCTAACCACCATATCTTCAACTACCAATTACTGATGTTAATTTCTGTAATGGCTTTCTAGATTGCTGCAATCTCCATCTTGGCCATGAAAAGGAGCAAATAAGCTATTTTTGTTGTTGCTCTTTTAACATCCCATTATTACCCAACAATAATGACAATAATCCTAATGCTGGGATTTGATGGTTTATTCAGGTATATAACCAAGTAAGCTGAACCCCCTTGTAAGCCAAAGCTGGGGTCTGTATGGCAATTCCACCATTCCTACTGATCTTAACAAACTCACTTCTCTTTAAGGAAGGAATAAGCTTCTTTAACATCTTTTTTAAAAAGAGAGAGAAAGAGAAATTAGCTACAGCTGTTGGAGCTTTTATGCTGCACCTACTTGTTTTATTCTCTTTTGTTTTGATCTATTTAGGCAGTAATTAAAATCTTGCAACTAGAAAGCTCTCATCCAAACATGAAATTCAATGAAAAGCACCATTGTGATAAACGCCACACTCTCCCTCCAGAACAAACCAAGCCAGAAAATAAACCATGCTTTCAGAAGGTACAGAAAAACTTGGAAAAATCACCAATTTTGTCACTGTACTACGTTAAGCAAGCATACGTCATATGGATGGCAGGAAAAATACTGCTCAAAAATAAACCATGCCTTCAGGAGGTACAGAAAAACTTGGAAAAAATCACCAATTTTGTCACTGTACTATGTTAAGCAAGCATATGTCATATGGATGGCAGGAAAAATACTGCTCACTTCAGCATGAATCATGATAAATATGGAGAACAAATACTCTGTCTGGATAAGCCTTAAGTCACAGCCCTTCTTGCTTTCCCCATCTATACTTATATATGTATGCCTTATTTGTCTGTCTGTTTTATTTGTATACCACCCTATTTGTGCAATGCACTATTCTGGGCAATTTACAGCATAATAGAATAAAACACCAGAAGAATAAGATTATAAATAAACAGTCAGAAAAATAAAACAAAAAACAAGAGGAATATTATTCCAGTAACCGATGAGATATTGTCAGGATCAGGTATCAGCAGTGTCCTAACTTTAGGTCATTTTCTCTTACTGAAAGGGCCAGTCCAGCCATTAGCTGGAGTGAAGCTCTCTCTTCTGCAGGCTGGCTATTCTCCTGGGAGGCTCAGGGGGAACCTGTGTTCTCTAGCCCTACAGACATGCAACCAACTTAGGGGTAATACAGATGTTTAAATTATTTTCAAGTTTTACACGGCCCTTTGTTATTTCCATAGAGCAGGCCAATAAAATTCATACACTTCTGAGGGCAGACTCTTACAAAATAAGACATTCCCCAGCTAATATATCAGTCCCTCAGGAATATCAGACACCTCAGGGGTCTCAGACATGGACTTCGGCACAGATTCTACCAACCCATGCTCCTCTGGATGTTTCAAATTGCAACCCCTGCCCATCCCAATATGCCAATGGTAAAGGACTATGGAAAATAGGTGACGAGGTGGGGCTTGTCAGCCTTGGAAGGCAGCCCATCTAGGAGAAGGAAAACTCCAATTTCATACCTCCACTGCTTTGTGGCTATATCCACTGACGGAAAAGCCTTCAGGAGTTAACCTCGAGGCAAAATCTAGAGCCGGAGTCCCGGAGGCAGTTTGTGTCATTCTGACAACTCCTGCGATGTTGCTGGAACCAGTTGTATTGGCTCTTGCCTTTCCATTGGACTATTTCAGTGACGTGGAGAGGGGGGATTTGCTGCTTCGGTAACAGCCTATCCTCCATATTATTCTACCCAGGCTTTGTGCTCTGGAGAGGACACTCATACAGAGCACGTTACCATGGTCTTTCGAGACTGAAGGATGCCTAAGAATGGGAAATAGAACCTGAAGCATCTGAAGGGCCATAGTTTGGAGCAGCCTGCCCTAGCATCAGGGCAAAAGCTCTGGATTTGCTTTATAAACATGGAAGCTTGCCAAGAGGAAAGGGCTGGGGGTGACAGCTACCAGCTGAACTGAGGAACTGGGCAATGCCAGGAGCCAGTTGAGTGACTGGTGCTCCAAGAGCCAAAGACAGAGAAAAAAGTAACTCACCACGCACCAAACATAGAGAGAATCCCACAGGCAAACCAGACAATTAAGGACAGGCCCACATTGCCGGTGTTCTTTAGCACGCCTTTGGGAGAGATGAATATACCGCTGCCCACCATGCTGCCAATGAGGAACGAGAAAGCCCTCAACAGAGTGATCTTCTGCCTCAGAAAGACAGCCTCTTCTTTCTTCTTTGGCTTCCCCATGGTGTTTGTGATCCTGGGGTTGCTGAAGCTTGGTCAGGTGACTTGAGCTACCATATAGATCCTTTTCTGGTTCCCCGGTCAATCTGGATTAAAAATGTGAGGCAATTGTACCTGAGGAAGCAAACACAGAACTTTAAAGCCTGCTTGCCTCCAGTGCTAATGTAAGGGTCAGGCAAAACCAGGATAAGTAAATTTTTGGGATTATATCTCCCACAATTTCTAGTAGACATGGTGGCTTTGAAAGTCGTTATTGTTGTCATCCAAAAAACAAACTTCTCCAAACTCTGGATGAGAAGGCACTTATATGGGAGAATCAGAAGCTGAGTGGTTTAATCCTCCTTTCCTTATCCATTCAGTCTTATTTGCAATCTCTTCCATGCATGATTTTTCACCAGTTCCTCCCCTTCACAGCAGAGAAGATTGTAGGAGAATGGGTGTCAGAGGAAGAATTAAGAATCTCTTTCAACAATATAATGTTTTTTAGTTGGAGGAAGGTATACATTCCATCTACAGCAATTGCATAGTACTGTGTAGAACATAGGAGGATATTTATACTTAAACTATGGCCAAAGTCCTGTTGGGTTTTTGCACCAGCATAATGCCACTGGCAAAAATCATGTTGCCAATTTTCTGCAAGTAAGGAAAGAAGCACAACCATTTGCTGTTGCATGTGGAGTTTTGTAACCCAAAGGCCAACAGCCAGTGGTGGGATTCAAATAAATTAACAACAGGTTCTATGTCCTAATGATAGATAGATAGATAGATAGATAGATAGATAGATAGATAGATAGATAGATAGATAGATAGATAGATAGATAGATAGATAGATAGATAGATAGATAGATAGATAGATAGATAGAT